GTTTACTCGTTACACCTGTTACAACCAACATAATTTTATGATCATTTTTATGATAGAATAAGTAAATATTTATCACTCCGGATGTTGTTAATGAATATTCATTCTGGCAAGTAAATCTGGTTATCATCAAGATACACATGCTTGAGGGCGAAGAATACTTGCAGACCAGACTAAATGCTTGGACTTACATTTGATAAATAATTGCTATAAGGAAACATTTAAAACTTAGGAACTACAGAATATGTTTGAGAAGGTGCTTGGAAGTATGGTTGTTAGCTTTTTACTAGGTTTGTTTGTTGTTTAACGCTTCACTCAGCAATATTCTAGCTACATGACAGTGGTCTATAAATCATCAAGTCTATACCAAACAATTAAGTGATTGACATCATGAAAATCGATACGATAACATGCATCAACCAAGTCACCGAATCTGGCCACTCGATCCCGTTTGTCACCTCTCACGACAAGCATAGGTTGCTGAAACTGATCTTGACGACGTCGTCTACTTTAGTTATTATTGTTGTGACAATGAATAGCGACAAGGTCATGTGTTCTATGAACATGCCCATCCGAAAACAAGAAAGATAACTGACCCTTAGCTTGTTAAGAGTGTGCTATAGTTCAGCTAGCGAAGGTGGAAACAACGAAACAATAGCCTTTTATGTTGATGACATCACTTCTTCGTGACGTCATCGGTCATGAAATGGATTGTCCAATAAGGAATAACCTACGCGTTACGAATAATTGTGAATTATATTTCCTGACTGAATGAATGGCGTTAACCACGAGCCTAAACGGTTAAGGTTGAAGTGATTCACAGATGGACGCGCGATATTGATCATGGTTATATACATGATACGCTTCAGATTGCATTGCTAAAGACCCCTGTAGATCCGGAGTAGAATAGGTCCTCAGCAACCTATGCTTGTCGTAAAAGGTGACTATGCGTGTCGTAAGAGGCGACTAACGGGATCGGGTGGTCAGGCTGGCAGACTTGGTTGATGAGTGTCATCGTATCCCAATTGCTAGGAGCGATGCTCATGATATCAATCACTGGATGGTCTGGTCCAGACTCGATTAATTACAGACCCCCGTCAAATACCTGGAATATTGCTGAGCGGCGTTAAACAACAAACAAACAAAGCATTGCAAGATATCGTGATTTTTTTTATTTGTCTAAGTAACAACAGACGATCCATAAAGTGACACTGATGAACATCATGCTAAGCCTGTTACTAAGTATCTTTACCTCGTGGTGACTACGAGATAAAATTAGTCGCAAGTTTTGCAAGCATGCCCCAATTTAGCCACCTTAAGAGGTGAAGTGAAATGGGTAAAAAGGTCGCTTTCAAGACCATTCTACTTATGTAGCGATATGCATGCACTTGAGACTGTTTGAGACTGCTTGTACTAGTCCGGATGTATGGTTTTTGTAGTGCTAGCCCACTGAGATACCATACCTCAGTTTAACATGGATACTTAACTTAGGCACATTATGCTGACTAGTCCTTGTTTTAACCCCTTAATGCCGAGCACCAGGCCGGGTAACAAGCACCATCGTTTAGCGTCCTGAGGTTTGACGCGACCAGGTGATCGAACCCCCGACTTTTGGCTCTCCCGGCTGACGCTCTATCCACTAGACCTTAAGAGGCTCTGTGACTTTACTGTTCGCGTGTCGACATGTCCCGATACCGTTGATCATTGCCTTTTCTGCAAGTCAGTGGTTTGCCTGACTTAGTTATGTACTGGCCGTGGTGATATATCTGGACTGCGGTATTAAGAATATTCCAAAATATTTTTGAGAATCATAATAGAGGTCAACTACACATGCAATAAGTTTGCATCTAGCCGTCAAAGTCATCTACACATGCAATGGTTTGGTAGCTAACCATCGAGGTCATCTGCTCGTGCACTGGCTTGGTAGCAAAAGATATAGGTCATCTGCACGTGCAATGGTTTGGTAGCTAGAGATCGAGGACAACTGCACGTGCGATGGTTTGGTAGCTAGAGGTCGAGGACAACTACACGTGTGATGGTTTGCTAGCTAGAGATCGAGGACAACTTCATGTCCGATGGTTTGGTAGCTAGAGATCGAGGTCTACTACACGTGCGATGGTTTGGTAGCTAGAGATCGAGGACAACTTCACGTCCGATGGTTTGGTAGCTAGAGATCGAGGACAACTACACATGCGGTGGTTTGGTAGCTGGCGATCGTGGCCATCTGCACGTGCGATGGTTTGGTAGCTGGCGATCGAGGTCATCTGCACATGCGATGGTTGGTAGCTGGCGATCGTGGTCATCTGCACATGCGATGGTTTGCGAGTGCCAAACTTTCTTATCAAAGATGGACGCCGAGCAACACTTGATACGCATCTGTTAACACGCACAGATGACTTCTGCATCTACAATGTATGTTATGATGCTCGTGAAACCTGTGCACATGCAAAGGGTTGAGAGTGCACTTTTACACTGAAAAAAGCACCAGAGCGCCCTGAAAGCCGAGTTTCCCTGATATAAATACACGGGGCTGATAAAGTCGACCTAAGTTGATGGCGTTACACCATTGGTAGCATGTTGTTTACACGGGTAATATTTAAACATGTCATGATAAACCACAAGTTGGTGATAAAACGACATAAACAGACTGGAGCATTAAACAAACTATTTGGATACCAGTAATTAAAATTGTTAAACAGTATATGTGTTCCAACCACACAATATCATTATGGTCACTCTATCTTTTAGAGTGCAGAACTGTTCACCTTGTCTTAATCCTTTAAAAGTGCTAATTAGTGCCTTAAGTAGAAAAATGTTTGGTCTAAGTTTTCGTAGACATCCCTGGTTTGGAAGAGTATGTACCTAAATGATATATGGCAAAATTATAAAAATAAACAATGCGAATAAAAAACGCTATCGAAAAAGCGGTGCTGTCATACACTGAATTATACATTTTTGTTATGATTGATGCCTAGCATCTTTGTAGAAAATGATTTTATTTGCGATCGGGTGACTAAACGGACCTCAATGTTCTGCGAATGTTACAGGCGCTGATGGATGTTCCATTTGACGGGGAAACGCCTTTGCTACTGCACGACGTGTGGGATGTAATGAGCTCAAAATCGTAACTGATGAGATATTCAAGACGGTGACCGTGGCGATTGGGTAGCCTTGTGGTACAAGCGTTCCCTCGTCATGCCGAGGGCCAGGTTTCAATTCCCGATGTTACGACCATTTCTGGTGTCCAAAGCCGTGATATTGCTGGAACACTTCGTGCGTAAGCGGCGTAAACAGGGACACAACTTTAGTTTGCAAGTCAACGACAACCAAACAAAACGAGTTCTAAGTTTTTACCTGAATCTTCATGGGGCTGTTTGTGGATAGTCATGTTAAAGATATCAGTCATGAAGGAATAATTCTTCAGGAGAGGAGTCGAAGAAGAACCAGGGCGTATCTGCCCCAGAATAGCGTACCAAGAGGGCTTGCAATAAAGATGGTATCTAATTGATGAAAGCCTCCAGTTTTGGCTTAATTCTTGTACAACTTCTTGTCAGTCCGATTTGAACTGTGTAAATTAGATAAGGCGCCCGTGTCATACAATCTTTAAAACATTAAACAAGTCGCCACCTTAATACAGGTCGTAGACATTTACGATTTTGGTCAAAGCTACGAGCACGGTTCTGAACTGATACAGGGATACTAATGAGGGCGCAGCTTGGAACGGGTACTTTAAAGTACTTACTATCTTCATGGAGTTTCCTGAGTATAGTCTGTCCCCAGTTACCTATGCGAAGCGTATGAGCGTATGGTCATTGTTGTTCATGCTTTCAATGACTTTCAATGTGAACGCCGTGATGCAGCTTACTTATTGCTAACTACGGCGTTAATCAACATTCATTCACATCACTATATTCTGTCTGAGAAAACTCTTTGCTAAGACCAGACGGCCTCCGTCTTCTAGTGATTAGAGCGTCTGCCCTGGCCGTGTCATGCCACAATATGTTAAAAGATAGTTCTCTGCCTGGCGCTCGGCATCAAGGGGCTGAAGCAAGGAATGGTCGGCTCGGAGTCGGTATACAGTGTCTGGGTAGAGTATCCATGTTAACCTGAGGCATGGTATCTCAGTGGGCTAGCACTATAAAACCGGAATAAATCCAGACTAGTTCAAGCAGCCACACATACGTGCATGTACGTCGCTATAGAACTGCAATAATCTTGAAAGATTGTTAAACCCGATTTCACCAGACCTCACTTCACTTTTGCTAAGACCAAGGAGGCTACACACAGAGTACAATTCTCAGAAAAAACGTCAATTGTTTTGTTTGTCAGTTATTTTAGTGATTACTAAAATAACTGTATCCAGTGACATGCAAAGTGATCTGACACAGACAAATCAGTGGCTGATTACATGAGCAACGATCAACGCCGACGACATGTAATAGTGAATATGTTTTTTACGCCGCTTTTAGCAATATTCCAGCAATATCACGGCGGGGGACACAAGAAATGGGCTTCACACAATCGAACCCGGGTCTTCGGCGTGACGACCGAACGCTTTAACCACTAGGCTACCCGACCGCCCCGACATGCAATAGATTACATAAGATGATATATAAAAGGCTCTGACACACATCATCACCATCCGATCCCCGTTTTAATCTTCCCCGTGACAAGCCTGTCGAATCCAGACACCCGATCTTCCGTAGTATTTCCCACATTAAAAATGAAAAATGAATTAAAATCACGTATTTATGCCGCAGTCTAGATTATCAAAGAGTTGCCGGAAGTCTAAGGCGCCACTGTTAGCTATGCACGGCTTCGTCTCAGGATCCTACAACCATGAGTTCCAATGATTCGCCACTTCGCCCCGATAACGATTCTTGGTCTGTCAGCATACTACCCCTGCTCACGGGTTTCAATGGTAAACATCTCAGACCTCCACACTTCGGACTTTCCTTCAACATCCAGCAGCCACACTGTGACTAAATGAAATATTGTTCAAATCGACATTAAACCAAACCCTCTCAAAAACTGACTCCCGACGGCGCAATATACACCTCTTGAGTGGCGTTTCAAATTATACATTCGATTATAGAACCCGATCTTCTGACACTGATAAGAATTCCTCGCCTCTTTTAATCAGGACAACACAGCAGCCTAGCCATTCATTCACACACTACACACATGAACTAGTAACACACGAAGCGCGGTCGAAGCCTTAGCGACTGAAGTACAGCTAGACAAATCGTTTCAGAGAAGCTGGCTAACAACACGAGTCGTACAACCCTGTCCAGAAAACGTTGTCAAACAGCTTCCTATCAGCCTTGATGTGGATTGGGGAATTTAAGCAGCACGGCTTCAGTCATTCAAGCGTTCTACATCTAGACGATAGCGCTGGGAAATTAGTCCCGCCTAGCGGAGGGATACTGAAGCGATAGGCCGTGGGGATATTCCTGGAAAGCGGGAGTGGGATAAGATCAATGGTGCGTCCGATGTAAGTATACACATGCCTGATGTATTACATTATTTTGTTATTTATAATAATGTCGTGAATGACACCTAGATGTGGTCTTATTAATTGTGCATTTATTTCCCATGAGGAAGGCGAATCTGGTGTGTGTTTTTGTAGATGAAGAGTGTCATAGATTTAGAACATGCTTTAAATATACGTTTAGCGGTACGAGTTGTGAACGGACGTTTAGCGAATTTTCTTTCCGAATGAAAACATATTTATTGAAAAGGCATAAACATGATGAGATTGTAGACATAGTTTTACAAAGTATTACTTCAATTTAACAAATTTAAATTTATATATGGAGTTCGATGTTATGTAACTATATACATACATTTCGTGAAGTAAGGCTAAAGGTGTTGAGGCGGAGAACAGAGTTCGTGTATTCTTTTGCATTCTATTAGTATAAGTGTAATAATATTATATAAGCATAATTTGTCCTAGAGGGCTTCACCCCCTTCACATTCTTATGTTGGCGCCTGAGGGTAGGTAACAAGGGAAGGGGGCGAAAGAAGTTCATGTATACCCTTATACCGTTGAAGACCTACAGGATGGAATTCTTCCTTGACCTGTTTGGCCGTTGGAGTACACTTGTGTTTAAAGCGTTCGTTTGGCATGCCGAAGGCCCGGGTTTGTTTCCACACACGGGTACAATGGTTGAAACCCATTTCCGATTATATTGATGGAATATTACTAAAAGCGGGATAAAACCATATTCACTCACTTGCCTGGTTGAAATAGTCTGCCCTGAGTCCAGTCGACACTCATTATCGCAGTGATCCAAACCCCACATCTTGCCCTCTGCTTGACGCCACGCTACTGCTGAAAGTTTCTGACCTCTACGTAATAGCCCTAACCTTCAATATATAATGAATTTGTGTAAAATTCAACTTTTTATTGTTGATTTTAACTTACATAGTCCTTTGTACTAGCTGAGTATCGTCGACTGTGTATAACCCGGAATTTTTCCTACTTTCACGGATAATTGATTTCTTCTGATACGCAAGTCACATATTTTTTCGTTTGGCCAATGTTTATTTCCGAACAAACAGAAAAGTTTACATACACGGCATTATGGGCATTAAGGGCGGCATTATCATGGCCACGGTCCCTTACTGAGAGCTCTCGACGTTATGTTCGTAATTTGAAGCTGGGTAGTCTCTCTACCACCCCACCCACAAGCCACCCCCCTCAACTTCACCCATCAGCTATAACAGTGTGGCCCAACTGTACGACGGGAGTAGGTCTGCCCTTAGAGTACTCGGAATGACCTACTGGCAAGTAATGGAAGAATGCAATGGCTGAGCTATTACAAGAGTCATAGGTGCCCGTTTCACCAAGGAAATATAAACTGACCCCCGTGCATGTATGCACAAGTCATTTGGGATATCAATAGTGAAAAGTATTAAAATACAAATATAAGAAATCTCGATACATATTGATATACATTGTGAACCATAAAACTAAACATTACTCCGCTAAGCAATTCTAGAGTTTCCTCACCTTCAACCTTTGTTTTCTCGAAGTACTGTTTGTCTCGAAATGTATCTTCGGTCCAAATACATCATTCATAAAAAAACATCATGTGAATGCCTCTCAAAACTTCAATCACGGGGTATTTTGCTGTGGTCATGCACTTTAGCTTGGAGTTAACGCTGTACAATGTCTTTCAACTAAGCCCTGGCAGAGCGCATCACAACCAGTGCGCCCATGGCCATACTGACTATATGCCCTACCGTTGAGTGGGGAGGCACAAGGAGTTGCCGTCGAGCTCTGGAGAGCGACGTTGTATATATAGTTTTCCCAGTTCAAGCAGAGAGTTTTGTGGCTTGTAATGAACATCAGTCAAATCACAATCACGAAATTATTCCCGAGCTTGAAGAAATAGTAAAGATGTATATTCACAGAAAGAAACATCGTATACCAAGAGCATTACAACTGTAAAGACAAGGAGTCATTTCAGAATATGAAATAGTTTGAATAGAACTTATTAACTTATAATAGGGATGGCTACGGTATCGTTCAAAACAAAGACCCTTAGCTCGCCACCGGACGCGAAAATGTATGATCCCTAGTCGAGACCTTAGTGACGTGTTTCACAAACTGCTGTACACAGAGCAAACATCCCAACGATCGCGAAGGTGACGCGGAACGTTCGCGTCCGTTTGAGCACTCATTATCAGAACAAACGCGTCATGGTAGCGACAAAGGGAACATTGCAACTTGAGTAGTAGCGTAGTGCAGAATCGGGGAGTGGGAAGCAGCCATCTTCTTCAAGGAATCCTTGGAACATAACATCGTACATCTAACATATGTTTATGTTCCAACACAGATGTGTGATGACGTTTACTGAGCGAGGGGCGCCTTGTCTCGGCGCTTGTGAGTAGGCGATTAACATCACATTGACGACATCTCACCACGTGTACAGTTCCGCGTACAGGGTACTTGTTCCAGTTCGCTGACGCGGTGCATCTTTAGCGAACCAGATAATTAATGTATGTGACTTAATAAGATGCAATCGTTCCCAGGACATTTCTCATTTCATCAAACGGAGTACGTTTCATTATAAGAATTATATGCAAATAAAACGTAGCATTCTAGACCGGTTTGTTATTTTAATTGTTACAAGAGTCATAGGTCACCGATTGACCAACGAGATACAAAGTAATTCCCATGCATGTATATTCAAGTAAATTGGAATATCAATAGGTAAAATAATGACCAACAAATTTCCGAAATCTCGATACATATTGATATACATTCTGAAAATTGAAACTAAAAAAAACTCCCATAAGCAATCCTAGAGTTTCCTCGCCTTCAACCTTGTTATCTCGAAGTACTGTTTGTCTCGAAATGTATTTTCAAGCCAAATGCATAATTCATTACAAAAACATCTCGGAGTACCTCTCATTATAAGAATTAAATGCAAATAAAACCTAGCATTCTAGACCGTCTCGTTATTTAGTCGAATAGGTTGTGTCAAAGTGTGCCAAGTTGGTTCTGATAAGGCAACTCCTAGCTTGAGGATAATTGACTGACGTGTTCGTTCGCGGGTTTGCTGTATTTCATAGCTGACATGCACAACGACTCTTCCATCTATTCTATAGATGTTCAATCATGTTCAGTAAACATTTTTCATCAGATCGAGTTTTGGTTGCTCTAATCTGGTAACATATGGTATTCCTGAAACATAAAAATACACAACATATTAGCTATAATTTGCCTTGTTTTGTTCGAAGCCGTATGGCTGACTTAGTGGTTAAACGTTTTCTCTCGTCTCCATGTCGAAGAATCCTGTTCGATCCCCACACGGGTGTTACAGTGAGTTTTTAAAATGGTTTTGATAAGTCAACTCTGAGCTTGAAGAAAACTGCTTATCGGAGTCATCCTCGCGGGTATGCTGTAATACATTCACAGACTGAGCCATTTCCGTCTATTCTATATATACGTTTAATCATCATCGGTGAACATGATGCATTAGATTGACACAACATTGAGACATTATTTATGATTGTAACTATAACCCGTTACGTTTTGATTCGCCTGTAGTCATTCCTAAATATGTATATTAAGCTGGTGGTCCTTGGTCACTTGGTCCTTGGTACACGTAGAAGATGACTCCTGCGAGTTTCACGGGCTTCGGTCCTGCCCCATACTGAAACATGGGCAACATGTCTCCTCAGGCAGTAGACTTTGTTCGAATTATGCCTCTTTTCACCTAGCAGTGAATGGGTACCCGGTAGGATAAGATAGTCACCCGGTAGTAATGTGACTAAAACTTTCTAGATCGCCATCGCCATACGACAGCTTTGTTTGTATACTCCCCAGGGAGCTGAGAATGAAATTTGAGCGCACACGGATAATAGTACACTGTAATATCAAAGCGCAGTGACTTGGTAAATGAAATTTGGCGCATTATAAACGTTGTTATAAGGTTTTAGTATTCGTACTTGTTTCCCTCGTCACACCGTCCCTCGTCAAGGCCGGGGTTCGATTCCCTAAATGGGTACAATGTGTGAAGCAAATTTCTGGATATTGTTGCGTAAAAGCATAATCACTAACTCACTCACTCACTCACTCACTCACTCACTCACTCACTCACTCAATCACTCACTCAATCACTCACTCACTCTTTAATTACTGCCTTAAACTATTACCTTAAACAAGCAAAAACCAAAAGTACATTTTGTTAATTCATATTCGAAAGAGAGACCGCTTCAACTCTCCATGGAACGTAGATACTGTTTAGTATTTAAACTGCATTAACTTAACATTATTGAGCACTTTATACCCACATCCAAATTATAGGCCGGAATTTCAACAGGAATTTCTGATTTATTCTTGGTTGGCTCACCAGTGTTAGTACGGCCTACATACTTTTTAACATCACAGGGGAATGGAAATCATTACATTTATTAACTCTGGCAGTTTGATATCCTCGGAAGTGTCGAGTTCTACCTATGACGTTAGTTAGACATACCTTTCAAGCGTTGAGCCCCGGCAATGAAAGCCGCGTAAAACAACGTGAAACGCATCTTTTTTATGGTATGGAGACATTGCCTCGCGACATCAGAGAAATAGCCCAATTAGAAAACAAAAAGCAAAAAAGTTTCCAGTCTGCAAAACATGTTATATTTGGGATAACACTTCCTTTGTAAAGTAGAAATTCCAGTTCTTGCTTGGGTTGAGTCCTATCCGGGATTCGAACCAACACTCCCAATCTGGTACCAAATTAAATAAGAAGACTCTACATATTAGCTACAGTTTGCCTACCTTGTTTTGTTTAAAGCCCTTATGGATAACTTCGTACTCAGAGCTTTCGATCATCACCATATAGCCTTGCTCCAAGTCTGTAATGAATTATAAGTCCATGGGTGTTTAGTAATTATATCCTTATAATAAGCAAGTCTAGATAAACGGATAGTACAGCTGAGGAATCCAGTCTTTTGTCGAAACAGCTTGTTCTTTTTATTTATATAATC